TCTCCCACAGCTCAAAGTGAAGAATCCCCATAGCTCACTGTGAAGAAACCTCTCCCAGAGTTCAGGTGAAGACCCCTCCCCGTAGCTCAGAATGAAGACTCCCTCTCCCACAGCTCAGAGTGAATAACCCCCCTTTCCTTCAGCTCAGAGTGAAGAACACCGCCCCCCCGCCCAACCCCGGCTCAGAGTTAAGACCTCCTCTCCCGCAGCTCAGAGTGAAGAACCCCATTTCCCACAGCTCAGAGTGAAGATGTCCCCCCAAACTCAGAGTTAAGACCCCCTCCTCTCACAGTTCAGAGTGAAAAATCCCCCATAGCTCATAGTGAAGAACCTCTCTCACAAAGCTCAGAGTGAAGACCTCCCTTTCCCACAGCTCAAAATGAAAAATCCCCAATAGCTCAGAGTGAAGAACCTCTCTCACACAGCTCAGAGTGAAGACCCCCCTTTCCCACAGCTCAGGGTGAAGACCCCCCTGCACCCCGGACAGAAGACCCCCCCATAGCTCAGAGTGAAGACCACCCTCTCCCACAGCTCAAAGTGAAGAATCCCCATAGCTCACTGTGAAGAACCCTCTCCGAGCTCAGAGTGAAGACCCCTCCCCGTAGCTCAGAATGAAGACTCCCTCTGCCACAACTTAGAGTGACGACCCCCCTCTCCCACAGCTCAGTTAAGACCTTTCTTTCCCACAGCTCAGAGTTAAGGCCTCCTCTCCCACAGCTCAGAGTGAAGATACCCCTTTCCCACAGCTCAAAATGAAGATGCCCTCCCCCCAGCTCAGGATAAGACCCACAAGCCCCCCTCCAACTCAAGAGCCTAGCCCCAGCCGTTTAGAGTGAAGACCCTCGACAGGTGGAAAGGACATGGCTGCGCGCAGGGTTGTGATTGACAACGGATCCTGACCCATCAGACGCGGTGCCTGGCCACAGTCCCCGCCCAGGTGGCGCGTGTATTTAAGCGGTGTGACGGCAGCAACGGCTGTTGCACGTGGAGCGGCTTCTGGAGATTTCCAGCCGCTTGTTATTCCCCCTGAAGGACAATGTCTCTCCGCCTGAATAGCGAAGTCTGCATCCCTATGATCGGCCTGGGTACTTGGCAGGTGAGAGAAGGAACGTAAGAGTCTATATCAGAGATAACACAGTGTAGAGCTGGATGAACGCAGTAGGCTAAGCAGCATCATAGGAGCAAGAAGGCTGACGTTTCGGGCTGAGGCCCTTCTTCAGAAATGGTCTATATCAAGCTTGTGTGAGTGAGTGAGTGGGTGGGGAACATTGTGAAATATAAATCTTACCGAGGGCACTTGTTATTATTCTCTTAAATATAGAATTGTGTATGATGTGATTTTGTTTGAAGCTTCCACACCGAAATGGATCCATGTTCTTCAAAACTTGGAGATGATTAAATTAGCTTTTTTATTACATGTACTCGAATGAGGCCTATTTTCCCTCGAGCGTCGGAGGCTGAGGGGTGACCCTGTAGATGTTTATAAAGTTGAGGGGCATGGATAGGGTGAATAGTCAGTGACAATATCATTGCTGAATGCAGATGACAAAATCCTGTCAAAGGTCATTGCCAGGTCTGCTCTGGGATTGGTGATTCACCCTGACCAAACCTGTGTTGTACTGGACAGAGCAATGTCAGAGAGCCTTGCACTCCTCAGGGATATGATTGCCTATGTACAGGACAAAGAGTTGGATGCCTGCCTCATCAGCCTGGACCAGGAGAAGGCCTTTGACAGGATATTGCACACGTACATGTGGGACGTGCTGTCCGAAATGGGCTTTGGGGAGGGAACCTGTAATTGATTCTGACTGCTCTACACCAACATTGTTTACACAGTCTCAATCAACAGGTGGGAATCAGAAAGCGTCCGGATCAGATCCGGAGTCAGGTAGGGCTGCCCACACTCTCCTGCCTTCTTTGTGTTGTATAAAACAACTTTGAGCGCAAGTCTATCAGGATTGAGCACAGTCCAATCCACCCAGGAAGGTTAGAGGGATTTCTGAAACAGGCAGCACTCCTAGGACACTGTGTCCTGAGATCCACTTGAGGATCCAGTTCTAATCTCAACTGTGCCTGAAGCATTTCTCCTCCCTACCAGGACAATGATGGTCTTCACTTTCTACCTTGCCAGTATCCAAAGGATTATCATCTGCTATTTCTACCATCTCCAACAGGATGCTACTACCATACCACACCTTCCCTGCCCTGACAGCATTCCACAGAGACTCATCTGTCTGCAACATGTGGTTCACTCCCTCTTCAGTCCTTTTAAAAACTCCTGTCCTTGTCTCGGTCTCTTACAAACATGCCATGGTTGGGGATGTGTTTGTAATTGCAGAAGATGCACTTTATCTTGTCACTATTCAATGCACTTTCCAGTGTACATTTAAATGTCTTTCTTCTGATCTCCTGTGTTTGCTGCTCACAGTAGAATCTCCTTTAGATTTGTGAGACCACATGCAGAGTAGGTGACTGCTTTACAGAGCACCTTTGTTCTTTCCATAAATAATGACTGACTTTTTGGTTGCTTGCCATTTTAATAAACCATTTTGCTTCCCTGCTAACATTTCCATCCTAGACCTGCAGCAGTGTTCCAGTCAAACACAATGCAAGCTGGAACAACAGCAACTGATTTTCTTTTTGGGCATTCTACAGCTTCTGGTCTCAAGTTGAATTCAATAACTTCAAAGCATGAACGCTATCCTCAATTTTGATTGCAGCCACCTTGTCTTACTTGTGTTTTGTTGGCTTACCTCTCAGTAGAGCTGACCCATTTTCTCCTCACACCTATCATTGATGCCTATTTCACATGTTAATCTTCCCCTTCATGACCATTAGCACTCCCTTTGTCTTTTGCTTTGGCACGCTCACCACCGTCCTCGGAACAGAGAAGGTTAAAATAGGGTAAAGAAGGATATTTGATGTCCACTGGTTGGTATGTCACTGACTAGGAGTCAGCATTTCAAGATTCAGCAGGAGAGCTCAGAGTTAGATGAGGAGAAATTGCTTTACTCAGAATTGTTAGGATTTCAAATGTGCTGCCTGGGAGAGAGGTGGAGGTGAATTCTGTAAAAGGCCTCAAAAGAGAGTTGGATATATATTTGGAAGTGGAGGATTTAGAGGGCTGGAGAATGGAACTAGCTGGGCAGCTCTTTCGAGAGCTGGCACAGACATGATGGATTGAATGGTCTCTTTCTGTACCACAAAATTCTGATTCTCTATGTTCCACACCCCCTCCTCCGAATGCCCTCTCTGACAATTTCATAAAAACATCATTTTCCAACCCCCTTTCAGTTCTGAAACATTGTCATATGGCATCTTGCTTTTATTTTGGTAATCAACATTATTTGGACAAATTAAAACAAATGTGAAAAGAAATGATATTTTGGGTGGCCAAGTGATTAGTGATAAAAACAGAAGTTGCTGGAAAAGCTCAGCAGGTCTGGCAATATCTGTGGAGAAAAAAAAAATCAGTTAACGTTTCGGATCTGGTGACCCTTCCTCTGGCTGACTGACAGTCAGGAGCAAGGTTTTAGAGGCCAGACATGAAGATATGGCTGGTAGACATTGCAAAAGAAAATGCTGATTCAATGCCAAGTCGAGATAACAGGTAAAACTCTTGTGCCTGAATGTTATTGTAGCTCACCTTTCATTAGGCAGTTTTGCTTTTACGTAGTTTGTTTCTAATTTTTGTGTAGCTAGCTGTTGAATGAGCAAATTGATAACATAGTGAAGATAGCATCTGAGTGTTGGATCCATGTATCTCTGATCATAAAAGGATTGTGAAATTGACAGTGCAAGAACTGATTAAAAAGTATAAATTAGAATGGGTTAATCTCCAATCAAATTATATGTAGAGAGGAGAAATAAACATTTGACTAACAGCAAAGAATTACAGAAAATATAGTAAAATATTGAATGCTTTTAAAATCTCTTAACAATTAAAACTTAATGAGACTATATTATTGTAGTTTTCAGTGGTGGTGAGGTTCATGGCTATGTTGTTGTGTTTTCTCAAGTGGCACTTGGGCTGGAAATTACATGGTTAATTAATTTGCAGCAAGCCCAATAATGGGGATTTTACTCAGCTGGGTGGGTTAGTCATGATATTATTAGGATGTCAGTGTTGAGAATAGTAGGGCTGTAGAATTTGAAGCTGGACTTTAAGTTGAGCCAGGTATTAAGATTTTATTCCTATGCAGTATGACTTGGGAATTGGCCAGTTGGACCTGCTATGCATTCGGTAAGATCATAGCTGATTTGATTGTGCTTAGAATTCACACTCCTGCTTATCCCAATAAATTAGATTTTTGACTTACAAGGGAGTCAAGGGTTTCTCTTTTACTTGGTTAACCTGCCACATTCCACCTTGCCAAAAAAAGTATTAGTATTGTAACTTTTTAAAGAAAGGGACCCCAGGGAAGTCAAGTGACTTCTTTTGTAGTTTCTGGATAGACCGATCTGACTATACCTCTGGGAAGATACTTGTAATGTTAACATGGGAGACAACGGCCTAATGTTGAAGTCTGTCCAGGTATGTCCTGTACGTAAAATGTAGAACAAATCCAAACTACCCAATTATCACCCCATCAGTCTAATCTCATCAGTAAGGTGATGGAAGGTGTCATCAACAGTGCTATCAAGCAGCACCTGCTCAGCATTAACCTGCACAGTGAAACCCATTCAGCTCCTGACCTCATTACAGCCTCAGTTCAAACATGGACAAAAGAGCTGAATTCCAGATGATACTGACAGCTGTTGACATCAAGACTGCATTTGATTGAGTGTAGCATCAAGGAGCCCTAACAAAACTGGAATCAGTGGTGTCTGGGACAAACCCTATACTGGTTAGAGTCATACCTGACATAGGAAGATGGTTGTGGTTATTAGAGGTCAGTCGTCTCAGCTCAAAGACATCTCTGCAGGAGTTCCTTAGGGTAGTGTTCTAGGCCCAACTATCTTCACCTGTATCATCAGTGTCCTTCACTCCATTCATCAGGTCAGAAGTGGGGATGTTTGCCTGTGTTTACACAATGTTCACCAATCGCAGCTCCTCAGATACTGAAGCATTCTATGTTCAAATGCAACAAGATCTGGACAATATCCAGGGTTGAGCTGACAAGTGGCAAGTGACATTCACGCCACACAAAAATGCCAGGTAATAACCATCACCAATAACAGACAATTTAACAATTGCCCCTTAACAATCAGTGGTGTTACCATCACTGAATACACCCACTATCAACATCCTTGGAATTACCATTGACCAGAAACTCAACTGGACTTGCCACTTAAACATAGTGGCTATAAGAGCAGGTCAGAGGCTAGGAGTACTGTGGCAAATAACTCACCACCTGACTCTTCAAAACTTGTCCATCATTTACAAGGCATAAGTCAGGAGTGTGATGGAATTCCCCACTTGCCTCGATGGGTTCAGCTGCAACAACATGCAAGAAGCTTGGCGCCCAATCCCTTAGCACATACACTTCCTTCAATACCAATGCTCAGTAGCAGCAGTGTATACTATCTACAAGATGCACTGCAGGAATTCACCGAAGATCCTCAGACAGCAACTTCTAAACTCACAACTGCTTCCATCCAGAAGTGCAAGGGCACCAGATACCTGTGGACACCACCACTTGCAAGTTCCCTTCCAAGCTGCTCGCCATCCAACTTGGAAATATGTTGCCGTTTCTTCACTGTCATTGGGTCAAACTTCTGGAATTCCTCCCTAATGGCATTGTGGGTCACCCCACAACAGATGGACTGCAGTGGTTCTAGAAGGCAACTCATCACCACCACCTCAACAGAACTAGGAGTGGGCAAGAAATGCTGGCCAAATAGTGATGCCCGCATCCCAAGAATGAATTTAAAAAAGGTATTGGTAGACTATTAATTCAGAAATTCAAATAATGTAAGTTTGAATTCTGAATGGCAGATGATGGAATTTCAATTTGATGAATATCTGGAATTGAGTTAATGACTACCAGGAAACCACTGTTTGTTGTTGGAAAAGCCCATCTGATTCACTAATTTCCTTCATGAAAGGAAATCTGCAATTTTTACCTGCCCTGGCCTGTATGTGACTGCAGACATACAGCAGTGTCGTTAACTTTCAACTGCCTTCTGAAATGGCCTACAAGCCACTCAGTTGTATCAATCGTTACACAGTTTCAAAAGCACATAGACTGCAGCTGTTCAAGAAGACAGCTCACCATCACCTTCTCAAGGACAACAAATGCTGGCCCAGTCAGCAGTGCTGACGACTTGTGAGTGAATTTAAAACAAAAAATTGTTCCAAAAGATTGACTATGCCTCACCATTTCAATTAGAGATTAAAGATAATAATGGCTACTAGAGCTGCCATCTCCACAATGATGGAATTTCAGATCTAGTGCATCGAAATGAGGCAGGCAGGGATGGTGTAACTAGGGAGCAGAAGCTTTAGATGGCCAAAATTAACCTCAGTCATTCTGATACAAGTACAAAGTAGTGCAGATGCTAGAAAAATGAGATGTAAATCAACAATGCTGGAAATACTCAGCAGGTCAAGAAGCATCTTTAGGAGGTGGAAAAAGGATTATCAGATTATCATTATGTAATGTCAACAATGTTCCTCTCTCCACAGGACTTGCCTGACCTGAATGTTATCAGCATTTTCTGCTTTCATTTCACCCTTTTGGATTAGTTGGATAAAAATTCAATTTTGTCCGCTTCCCAATGTTAGATATGCAGCCCACACGTAGGTGGGAGAAAATTGAAGGTAACATGTAAATTATAAGAAGTTGGTATTGGAGATCTGTTATTAAGCAAAGAGCCAAGAATAATTTTCAGGAAACTCCAGTTGTAATCTGTTTCATGAGGGCAGATCTAAACATAAACTCTGTCAACATTTACTTAACCTTTCTCAGAGATTGTTGAGTATCAGGAAGTGAGAGAAAACACACTTTCAGAAAGATGTCTTCAAACGTCAACTTTATTTTATTTATTCATGGGATCTGGGCATTACTGGCTAGGCTAGCATTTATTGGCCCTCCCTAATTGACCGGAACCAAATTGCTGCTTTTGTCATTTCATAGGGCTGTTAATAGTCAACCAGGAAGCTGTAGGATATGAGGAAATTACAGAGCCTCTGATCTTGTAATTTGTCATTCCCCTCTGGCCACATGGGAGGTCCCAGACGATTGGAGGACTGCTAATGTCGTTCCACATTTCAAGAAGGGTGGGAGAGTAAACTAGGGAATTGTAGACCAGTGAGTCTCATTGGTATTAGAAAATTCTGAAGGAGATAATTAATCTCCACTGAAGAGGCAAGGTTTGATCAGAGACTAAGTATGGTTTTGTCAGAGGGAGGTCATGCCCAACAAATCTGGTTAAAAAAAAATTTTTAATATGGACTTTAGCAAAGCCTTTGACCAGAAACACACACCCAGGGTAACTTGGCAGTGTGGATCCAAAATTAGCTTGGTGGCAGGAGACAGGGTGTTGGGAGAAGACTCTTTGTGTGACTGGAACCTGGTGTCCAGTGGCGTACCACAGGGATCTGTGTGTATATAAATGTAGTGGGGAAATGATACGAAAGCTTTCAGAAAATACAAATATTGGCTGGGTGGTTGACCATGAGAAAGAAGGTGTTAGGTTACAGGAAGTATTAGATGGGTTGGTCAGATGAGCAAATCAGTGGCAGATGGAATTTAACCCTGATAAATTTGAGGTGATGTTACTTCTTCCAAAATACAAGATGAGGGTGTACTCACTGAATGGCAGGATACTAGAAAGCTCAGGAACAGGAATCTTAAGGTGCTTGTCCAGATCCCTAAAGGTGGTGGGACAGGTTAACATTAGGTAGAGAAGGCATTCGGGATGCTTGTCTTTCAGTCGTGGCATGGATTATAAGAGCAAGGAGGATATGTATGAGCTGACTAGGACTTCAGTTAGGCCTCTGCTGGAGTACTGAGCACAGTGCTGGTCACCTCACTACAGGAATGATGTGATTGCACTGGAGGGGATGTAGAGGAGATTCACCAGGATGTTGCCTAGGATGAAGCATCTCAGCTATGAAAGGCTGGATAAGCTCTGGATGTCTTTTGTTTTAGAGCAGAGAAGGCTGAGGGGAGACCTGATTTAAGGTATATAAGATTGAGGGGCATGGCAGGGTGGATAGGAAGGTTATCCTTGGTTGAAGGTTCATTAACAAGGGGGCATAATTTTAAGGGGAAGGGTGAGAGGTTTAGAGCAGATTTGAAGAAAAATTCTCACTCAGTGGGTGGTGGTAATTTGGAAGGTAGTAGAGGCAGGAAACCAAACAACCTTTTCTTAAAAATATGTGGATAAGCACTCAATGTCATAACATTTCATAACATTTTAAGGCTATCGGCCAATGAGTGACAGTGGGTCTAGAGTAGATCGATGTGGTGGATCAGAGGGCCTCTTCAGTGGTGTATGACTCTGACATATTGCTGTGTATCTGGTGTCACATGTAAGCCAGACCAGGTGGGGATGGCTGATTTCCTTCCTTAAAGGATGTTATTAAACCAGATGAGATTTTGCAACAATTGACAGTGGTTACATGGATGTTATTAGGCCAACTTTTCAATTCCAAATGTTTTAATTGATTTCAAATTTTACCATCTGTCATGGTGGTATTAAAACCTGCGTTCACAAATGTTAGCCTGGCACTGTGGATTACTAATTCAGCACTATTGCATGTGGTAGGGAGGGGTTAGTGTGCAGTGTTTGGGAATTGTGTTCAAAATAGTTAATGCAGTCATAGGCTAGGATGGACATAGAAGGAGATGAGGAGAGGAATGTGTTCATTGAGACTACTACTGGCCAGAGAGATGGGAGTGTGTAAGAAATTATTGATGTTTTCAAGTGGAGTTATGAATGTGTTTTTGTTTTTGACCAAGAAAGGTATTTGTTCTAGAGGAGATGGACAAATTAAGTGGGGCTGAGAAGGAGATAATGCATGTGTAAAGGTTTGGAGTCACAAATGAAATCGGTTAGCAATGTATATACAGTGAAGATTGCATGTTTGCAGAGATTGGTGAATTATGCTGGGTATGAACAGGCATTATCTTGAGAAAGAGAGACAGTTGTAGAGTGATGGGAAAGATTAATTGCAATCATTCACCTGTGTTCCAGACAGTCTTTGCTTTTATTTTGATTTTGATTCTGATGAATAATTTGTTCAGTCCCCAAAAGGTCAAGTGGCTGAAGCAGTGAAGGAGGCCATTTCTACAGGATATCGTCACATTGATGGAGCATATGTTTATCAGAATGAGAAGGAAGTGGGTGAAGGCATACATCAGAAAATTAAGGAAGGAGTAGTAAAGCGTGAAGATCTCTTCATTGTCAGTAAGGTAAAATGGAGAGTTTTGAAAGTTATTAACAAACTTAAACATTCATTCCTTCCACCACAATGACAACAGCACGTACTTTATGCAAATTTGCATTGCAGCAACTCACCAACGCTTCTCTAACAGCATCTTCCAAACCTGAGACTGACCTCCACTGCATAGAAAGACTAGGGTAGATGTATGGGACCATTACAACCTGCAAATTACCCTCCAAACAACATACCACCTTAACACAATCATGTTGTCAATCCTTCACTGTCTCTGGGTCAAAATCCTGGAACTTGATCCTGTTAGCACTCTGATGTACCTACACCACACCTACTACCCAAAGGCTTTGAGGATGGACAGTGAATGTTGAATTTGTTAGTGACACCCAAAAGGATTAAAAAATAAATATTTATTTTGAGAATATTATTTCATTTTCTACCATTAAATTCTGGGCCCTTTTGTCTTTCTCCAAAATATTAATCTGTTAGAGGAATTCCACATTTTAGACAACAAAATGAGTTGGCTGAGAGTATGCCACCTGTTAGGAGAATGTTAAGAGCAGTTTATTTTTGATGCATTGATCCTGACGTTGTGCTAATACTACTTTCTGTTGTCCTATTAGCTCTGGTGCACTTTTTCTGCAAAAGATAAGGTGAAGGAGGCCTGTTGTAAAACTCTGTCTGACCTGAATCTGGAATATTTGGACCTCTACCTTATTCACTGGCCCATGGGATTCAAGGTAAAATTTCCAACTAGGATATTTTGGCACATTTTACTCTTAATTTCGATGTTACCTCCCAAGTAAAGTTCTTACTGTCTCAGATGTATTCATTGGGTTGCATATAAAACTGATTTGATTTTAAAAGCTTGGTGTGGGAACAGTTCCATTTCAGCCAGGAGAGACTCCAGTTATTTATTACAGTCCCATTCTTCTCATGTCAAGAGAACCCAATATTTCAATTTTAACTATTAGAATTATGCTACAAGATTTTTTAAACAAAATTCAACTTCATCGTATATAAATGACTTAAACTTAACAAGCACTGCTAACTTGATGGTGTGGTCACTAACTATATATGCCATGTACTAAATTTTTCTGCTTGCTGTCTCCAAGAGTTTTCTTCTTCTGTTTTCATATCTTAAAAGCTATTTATCTTAGTCAGGACCATGCAAAAGTAGGCTACATCCTGACAGTAAGTCTCTAATTCTCTTCAAATCCAGCTATTTTCAGAGGTATAACTTTCTTTCATTATCTCTTGTCTGTGGATGCATCAGGTCCTTGTTCTGTTTCCAAGTCAGGCATCAGGGTGGTTTACAGTTGGCACCCTGGGTGTTTTACCCAACTTGCACAAAGATCAAGATATTCCTCTTGATCTGTACATTGATTATGAAATTGGAGACCTTCTCCAAGTTACATTTGGCAAGAACCAGTGTGAGCAACTGCTAATTGAAGTCAACCATAAGAATTGCAAAAAAAAGAGGAGTGGCTTAATCTTCTTAGGTACTTCTTTAAGATTATTTGTTCATTTTTGGTAATACAAAGCTGAACTTTGGTGTATCATGACAAATCATTTTCAAAGGCAAACCAATCCTAATACAAGTAGCATTATGCCAAGGTATCATATGTGCACATGGTATGGAGTGCAGAAAATGGCTAGTACACGCATCAGTATACTGCCAGGGATGAATGAGGACATTCAAGAACTGAGAATGCTTGTGAGGCTTGACAAATGCATCAGCCACAGCAGTGTAGAGAGCTTCTACATCCACAATGTTGCATCCCCTCCTTGGAGCAAAGTAGCAGTTTTTATATTCACAGTGCAAGAGGAAGATTACATCTTATGATGGATCACTTTTCTAAACTTTCTCTTTTTTTTTTCTTGAATTGGCAACAAAAATGCAACTATCACTGACTCGAGTGTTGTTTTCAGTTTATTCTCTATCTTGGAACACGTACAGTCTGACAACAGATCACAGTTCGATGGCAGACTGTTTCAAGACATGTACTAGTTTGAGAGGAAACCATATAACATTATCTCCACATTCAAGTGGTGGTCTAGCAGAATGTATAGTACGTACAATCAAACAAATTGTGATGTGTCAAGCAACGGAACAAGATTTTACATTGCAGCATTTACATGCAACACCAGTGGAGAAAGGTGATATTGTTGCTGGACTGGTAATTCTGATACCCAGATAATGCTCTGGGAACTTGGGTTCAAATGTCAACATGGCTGATGGTGCAGTTTCAATTAAAAACCTGGATTTTAAAAATCTAGTGAAATCACTGAATTATCAGAAACATCTGTCTGGTTCACTAACGTTCTTTTTAAGAATGTAAATCTGCTGTCCTTATCTGATCTAGCCTACGTAGCAATCTGGTTGACACTTAACTGTCCTCTGAAGTGGCCTGGCAAGCCACTCGGTCATATCAAACAGCTAAAAAGGCTCAAAATGAATAAAGTCTAGCATCAACCTAGCAAACGGAGTCCTGCCCTCATTAGAATTTTGGGGCTAAGTGTCAAATTGAGATAGCTGTCTTATAGTTCAGCCAAGTGACAGTTTGACATAGTCATATTGACAGAATCATACTTTGCATACAGTAACCCCGATTACTAACCCTGATTATGTCCTGTTCCACCAGCAGGACAGATCCAGCAGAGCTGGTGGCATAGTAATATATAGTTGGGAGGGAGTTATCCTGGCACTCCTCAACATTGCCTATGGACCCCATTGCATCTGGCCAGACATAGACAAGGAAATCCTATGCCGATTACCACGTACCCCTGCTGATACTTTCAGGGATCAATACTCATCTACATTGAGCAGTGCTTGGAAGAAACACTGAGGGTGACGAGTGCAGAATGTTCTGTAGGTGGGCAACTCAACATCCAGCACTCGGATTGGCTGAGCAACACCACTAGTAACAAAGCTGGATGGGTCCTAAAGGATTATAACTGCTTTAGTCCTATTAAGATAGAGACTGTTGCAAGACT